ATTTTTGTATTTTTCACTAGAGACAGGGTTTCTCCATGTTGGTCAGGCTGGTCTTGAACTCCTGACCTCAGGTGATCCGCCCGCCTTGGCTTCCCAAAGTGCTGAAATTATAGGCATGAGCTACTGTGCCCGGCCCATGAATGATTTTTTTTTTTAAGCCTGTAAGTATACATATAAACAAATGTTCTGAAAAATTGGGCAAATACAATTAATTATACACAGTGTGTTATTTTTTCAGAACACATACATGAAAAATGGCAAAGATAAATCAAGAGATAAAATGGGCTGACTGTTGAGTAGCAGTAAAGGAGATAGCCACTTAGAGAAGAAAATTCAACACAAATTTCCAAAATCAGAGCAATTATCCATGCCTATAATTCAGGTTCATTTAAAGTTACATCTTAAACTTTTATATACTGTATAATAACTTCATGAAAATGACCATGGTGGGGATAAGACTCAAGAATATATTAACAACAGAGACTTTTAGAGATGCTGAAAGAGACCTGTAAGGTGAAGTGTTTAGTTTCTTTTAACAGAAGCCAATAGAAGTATCAGCAGAGGCTTCATAGAGATCCAGGAACTTAACACAAAGCCTGGGGGAAAAAGAAGTCAGTCAGTAATTGGAGAAAATGAAGACTAGTTTTCCAGAGAGAAGAAAATACATATGTGGGCTGGGCACGGCAGCTCATGCCTGTAACCCCAACACTTTTGGAGGCCAAGGCAAGAGGATTCCTTGAGCCCAGGAGTTTGAGAGGCCAGCCTGGGCAACACAGTGAAACGTAGTCCCTATTTGAAAAAAAACAAAAACATTATCCAGGTGTGGTAGCACATGCCTGTAGTCCCAGCTACTCAGGAGGCTGAGGTGGGAGGGTTGTTTGAGCCCCAGAGGTGGAAGCTGCAGTGAGCTATGATTGTGCCACTGCACTCCAGCCTGAGTGTCAAATATATATATATATATATATATATATATATATATATATATATAATTAAAGATGAAGAGTAGAGTGAACTCAGCTTTGGGGTGTAGTCCCTCTAGCTCTAAAAGGTGTGACAGGATGAATAAAAACTCAAGTTTGTCCTTTTTATTATCATTATAATAACCTCCAAATGTAATGCAGTGACTAATATTCTGTATCATAAAACACATATAGTTCTACATGGGAATTTATTTATTTATTTGAGACAAGCTCTAGCTCTGTCACCAGGCTGGTGTGTGAGGCATGATCTCGGCTCACTGCAACCTCTACCTCCTGGGCTCAAGTGATCCTCCCACCTCAGACTCCTCAGCCTCCCAAGTAGCTGAGACTACAAGGATGCACCACTGCACCCAGCTAATTTTTTTTTTTTTTTGTAGAGGTAGGGTTTCACCATATTGCCCAGGCTGGCCTCAAATTCCTTAGCTCTACCAATCTACCAGCCTAGGCCTCCCAAAGTGCTGGGATTACAGGTATAAGCCACCCCACGAAGCCTACAAGAAAATTTATATGTCATTTTGTCATTTTTTTTTTTTAAGACTCAGGTCTACACGAGAATTCTTTATCACTCCCATTCTTTATCAAATTCTACATCCTGTTATGCCTCCTGAATCTAATTGTACATTTAGACTATAAGTTAGCAAAATCAATATACCGAAGCAAGGCATTTCGCAAGTATTTAATACAAGAGAAAATATTTATTTCAACTTTCTGCTATTCATTCAACTTTCTACTAATTATGTAAAATTTATACTTCTAAACCTAATGAGATGAAACAAACCTTTTGCAGTTTTTAAAAGGAAAAAAGGAGGCATCCTTTTTGATAAATGTCTTCATTTTGTACAGCAGATGTCTTTCCCTATCCTCTCATGCTTTCTGATTTTATTTTTGTAAGTGTGAGAACAGTGAAAATGCCAGCCATTGTAATCAGTTAGCTTGAGCCTCAGCAAAGATTACACAGTAAGATGTTATCTTAGTGGTTTTACATAAATACTGCACTTGAAGTACACTTAGCTTTTTGAGATCCACAGTTAACCATACAACACACCAATACCCACATCTGATTAACTCTCTTAAAGGTAGCCCACTTCAAGAATCTCATTTTCAACCCAACACAGAATGTCATCCACAAAACAACTGAGCTAAAATTCTAAACATCACTTGCTTTTTCTCTTTACCTTTATGATATTCTAAGTCCTAAAAAAAAAAAAAAAGCAAAGAGTTTAACAATTATAATAAATAATTTCACAAGAGTAAACATTTGGATTCTTTTTAAAGGTAGCAGGAATATGATTAGAAATAATGTCAAAATCTAGCCTGTAATCCTAGCTACTTGGGAGGCTGGGGCAGGAGCATTGCTTGAACCTGGGAGGTGGAGGTTGCAGTGAGCCGAGATTGTGCCACTGCACTCCAGCCTGGGTGACAGAGCAAGACAAGGAAGGAAGGCGGGAAGAGGGGAGGGAAGGGGAGGGGAGGGGAGGGGAGGGGAGGGAGGGAAGGAAGGAAAGGGAGGAAGGAAAGGAGGGAGGGAAGGGAGGAAGGGAAGGAGGAAAGGAAGGAAGGGGACAGAGAAAAAAGAAATAGATGTCAAAATCTATCATAAAACTACTCAAAATATTATATCCACACTATGGGCATTTTTGCTAAATGTGATGTGATTTGGGGTGAATTGACACAAATATCCCTTTGGCAGCTGCAAAGCAATGCCCAAATCTATACCAGTTGATGCCACTAAAAATTCAAGATGAAATTTCAAGATCTACCTGTGCAGAATGGCCATGACTCTGAGATGCCAAGCTTCAATCTCATGGCAGAAGCCCAGGGGCCCTGCAGACACACTGTGTTTTCCTTCCTGCTCCTTCCTCAATTATATCGTCAATGCTAAAGTGAATAAGATTGACTTCAGAAAAAGGTGCTATGACATTATCTTCCTTTACAGTTTCCTGTGGGAAGTTGCAAACATGCCTAAACATGTTTTAAAGCATGACCTTTGATGATGTCCCTGAACAGGTATCTTTACAAAACAACCACATCAAATGTGTTGGTCTTTACCAATGTGACAATGGAGTAACCTGGGTCAACATACATAAACATACACTTAAAAAAAATGCTTTTACACCTGCTCTGCTCCAACCCCCAAAAAAGTGAAAAGGGAGTTACTTGGTGTACATTTTAGATTTCTACCCAATTTGCTGCTTGCTACAACAACAGAACAACTTAAAAGACCCATAGAGGTTGGATACATATTTTCTAAAAGTCCCAAAGTTCTTGATGGAAAGTTGGTTTTCTAAGTAATGTAAGGACGCATCTGCTTGGTTTGTTCCTACCAGCCGATGACTATGTGTACTTAAGCCTCAGTTAACCATTGACTCAGGTAGTTCACTAGCAGGTCAGGAATACAACAGAATATGTAAGAAAAATTTGCTAGGATGTTAAACCATAGGGGCAGCCACAAAACAGAAGTCAGCTTGCTTATCAACCTGAAGTCTTTGCAAAGTGACAAGTGAACATCTGTCAAATAAAAGGAAATTACAAAGTAACTTTTCAGTACTCAGAAAATTCCTAAATATAATGCATAATCTCAGCCCTAAGCGTTCCTACAACATAGCTGGAATGGAAATCCTAAAATAATGACATAAGTATTGATTGCACAATCACTTCACTACATACTAGTAACTCCTGAGAAAAAAAATGAGGGATCTCTTGAGTTTCCTTGGAGTAAATGATGCTTGAGAAGGGGCTTGAAGGATGACCACATTTAAACCAGTGGCTTCTTAACCCTGACTGTGCCTTATAAACACCAGGGAGGCTTTTAAAACTTACTGACCAGGTCCTATGCTTACAGAGTCTGAATTAATTAGTCTGGGGCAAAATCCTGGCATTAGTGTTCCCTGTGAGCTCCCTTGTGATTTTAAGGTGTAGCTAGGGATATAAGTACTGAATACGCAGAGTAGAGAGAAATATCCCATTTCCAAAATGCGAAAGAATGAAATAGTCAATGAGAGAATGGCAGATCTTCTACCTTCAAGGTTAACATCTTTGAGGGAGAAATGGACACAGAGACTCTGGAACTAGCAGTCTGAAGTAGGTTTTTAGAACACTGGACTTTCATTCATTTGCTCCTTCAATCAATAAACATTCATTCAGGACTATGCATGAGGTGCTCTGTCATACAACCAGTTGAACAAAGGGGAGAAAAACAAACAAGGTCCCCAATTTTAGAAGACAATCAAGACACATATTATGTCTTCTATTATATATGCTTTATGTACTGTTTTAAGCAGGGGATGGCAGGATCCTCTTTGCCTATTTTTTTTTTTTTTTTTTTGAGAGGGAGTTGGGAGTCTCACGCTATCACCCAGGCTCCCAGGCTAGAGTGTAATGGCGTGATCTCAGCTCACTGCAACCTCCATCTCCTGAGTTCAAGTGATTCTCCTGCCTCAGCCTCCTGGGGAGCTGGGACTACCAGTGTGTGCCACCATGTCTGGCTAATTTTTGTATTTTTAGTAGAGACGGGGGTTTCACCATATTGGCCAGGCTGGTCTTGAACTCCTGACCTCGTGATCCACCCACCTCGTCCTCCCAAAGTGCTGGGATTACAGGCATGAGTCACTGTGCCTGGCCTCTGTGCATTCTTAAAAGATCACTGTGAGCTGTGGAGAATGAGTTGGAGGAGGAGCTCCACCAAATGTCAATCAAGTCAATATGGACACCACCATGCAAATCCAGTGTAGATGCCAAGGGAGCTTGGACTAGAATGGCAGAGGAGGAAGACAAATGGAAGCATGATGATGATTTTGAGACACTTAGAAAGTAACATTAACTAGACATTGTGATGAGAGGAACTGAGGTGAAGAAAGGGCCAAGGACCTGCTCAAGGTTGCTGGCTTGGTAACTTGATGGACAGTTCCTGTCCTGCACTGAATTTGGGCCACCCAGGAAAGATGAGGTTTGCAGGAAAAGATCATGGATCCAGATCCATGTTAGTTTTGGGAGCCTGAGACATACTGGAGCATATGTGAAATGGTTCAGTATACCCAGAATGACTGCAGGTGCCTGCGGGCTCTGGATGCTCCAATTAATGCTAGTTGTCCTGGCATCCGGTCATTTGATGATTTGGTACTTTCACTCTCACAGGGTCGCTGTTTGGATGATAAGTTAGAAGGTCCCCCTGATATTCAGATCTGGAACTAGAAGAAGTTTTGAGTGGAATATTTGTGAACTGCCTGTTGAGAGAACACTGAAACCATAGGAATCTATGCCATTGCAAGATTTGGTACACCAGATACAATGTGAAAGCAGAGGGTCTAATGGCTTGTTTCTGAGGAACCCCAGTATATGCAGACCAACTAGAAGAGGACAGATACCAAGGAAGTAGAGGCAGCTGCTGAGATGTCACAGAGCAAAGGAAATCAAACTCTACTTGGGTAATGATGCTGAAATCAAACTCAAGGACAACTGAAAAGTAGGCTCTGGGTATGGCTACATGTTTATTCGAGCCTCAGTTGTGCCACATTTAAAACAAGAGGACCTGCCTATCTGATCTCTAAATTCCTTCCTACTCCTAGAGCCCTTGAAGTCTAATAAATTAAAGTGCAGCATGAGGTAAATGCTAAGTAGATGTATAAACACTATACCAGCATGGGGGCAGAAAGAAGGAGATGAGTATCTAATTCTACTGAGCAAATCAAGGACAATTTCACAGAGAATGTTTAACCTGACACAGGAAGCGGGAAGGCTCATCCCGTGCTTGGGAAATGCTAACTAAATCCACCTGTGTGAGGTACACAGTATATAAGAGACGGGAGGCGGGGCTGGAGGGGGCCTGGACAGAGCAGGAGGTATGGACCTCGGCTTCCAGGCTGAGTCTGAGCTTCTTCGTCACATGATCAGTTCAGGATTTTAGGAGGCATATTCTCCAGGGGCAATCTAGAAAAATGGACTAGAGAGATGAAGGACAGGTGGCAGGAAGCCCAGTTAGAAGACATTCTGCAGCGATTAAGATGAGGGATGAGAGCCCAAGAGAGGAAACTGCCAGTGAGGATGGAAAGGAGGGGCAGGGACCAGCCACTCTGAGTGAGAATCAGCAGGACTTGATGACTGATTAGCACAGGTAGTGAGGAATGCAGCTGTCTTGAAGATGGCTCCTAAGCTTCCAGCATGTGCCAACAAACGGGTAACGGGATAATGTGCAAATACAGAGAAGGGGCAGCTTTGCTCCTCAGGCCTGAGAGAAGAGTGACTGCTATGGTTTGAATATCTGTGTCCCTCCAAAATTCATGGTCAAAGTTAATCTCCCGTGCAACAGTATTAAGAGGTGGGGCCTTTCTATGGCGATGAGGCCATGAAGGCTCTGCCCTCATGGATAGAATTAGCATCTTATAAAAGGGCAAGAGGGAACTAGCTAGCCCCTTTTGGCCCTCCTGTCCTTTCTGCAATGTGAGGACACAGTGCATGTCTCCTCCGCAGGATGCAGTATTTGAGGCATCATCTCAGAAGCAGAAGCAAGATGCTGAAACACTGAGTCTGCCAGCACCTTGATCTTGGACTTCTCAGCCTCCAAACTGAAAAATAAATTTCTATTGTCTATAAACTATCTGGTCTCAGGTGTCTTGTTACAGCAGCAGGAGCAGGCTAAGAGACTGTCCAAACACACCAACTTGGAAATGAGGTCGAGGTGACATCTGAACAAACCCTACATGTTCCTCTCTCTTCCTTGAGTTTGAGTGCACAGTTTGTGTTACACACCTTCAGACTTCATCCTAGCTCACATTGTTAGTACTGCTGTCTAATTATTACACATTTCTCTGGGGCTTCTAAAATATGTCTTCTATTTTTGTACCCCTTTCTTCAAAGAGCCTAAGCTAATGTTGGGCTCATAATAGGTGTTTAATAAATGATAACTCTGAACACATTAACGCTGAGAAACAAAAAGGACTTATTTTCACTGGAGCCAAATAAAATTTCAAGGGCAAATGTTTAAAATTTGCTTTTCGGCAAAACGTTAAGAAATTCGCCAGGTGTGGCGGCTTGCCTGTAATCCCAGCAACTCAAGAGACTGAGGCAGGAGGATTGCTTGAGCCCATAAGTTTGAGGCCAGTCTGTGCAACATAGCAAGACATTAAAAAANAAAAAAAAAAAAAAGAAACAAATCCATTGAACTAACTAATATGTTAGTGGATGTATGTCTGCGTCATTTTATTTTAAGACTGAGTCTCACTCTGTTGCCCACGCTGAAGTGCAGTGAGGCGATCTCCGCTCACTGCAACCTCCACCTCCCGAGTTCAAGCAATTCCCGTGCCTCAGCCTCCCATGCAGCTGGGATTACAGGTGTCTGTCACCACACCCAGCTAGATTTTGTATTTCTATTAGATACAGGAGTTTACCATGTTGGCCAGGCTGGTCTTCAAGTCCTGATCTCAAGTGATCCACCTGCCTCAGCCTCCCAAAGTGCTGCGATTATAGGCGTGAGCCACCATATCTGGCCTGCATCATACATATTTAATATTTTTAGATTATATTTTAATTGACGAGTGTATATATCTAAGGGGTACAATGTAATTTCTTAATACACATGTATATATTACACAATGATATATCAGGCTAGTCAGGATTTCCCTCACTTCAAATATTTATCATTTCTTTGTGGTGAGAACATTTAAAATCCTCTCTTTTAGCTATTTTGAAATATACAATAGATTATTATCATAGTTACCTTGCTGTGCAATAGGTCACAAGACTTATTACCACATCTAAATGAAACTGTACCCTTTGACCAACGTCTCCCTTTCCCCATGCCCCACCCCAGCCTCTGGAAACCACCATTCTACTCTTTCATGACTTCCACTTTATTTTAGACTCCACATGCAAGTGAGATCCTACGGTATTGGTCTCTCTACACGATACATTTTTAAAAGAAACAAACAAGACAAATCCAAATGCTAAGTAATTCTGTTAATGAAATAGAAATAATTTTTACTACATTCAAAGTTTGCCTTGCAATTGTTTCTACTCAATAAATCAATATCTTATAGATTTACATTATAAAATTTAGGGACAACATTTCCATAAATATTTCTCTGAAATCTCTAAATCTTTAAATATTAAGGTTAGGTCATTCTAACAGTAATGTGGGAAAGATTTATTTTCATTTTTTTAAAAAAAGAACTGGAATACACTTAGAATGCTGACCCTGTCAAGGCAGATTTTTTTTTCCCCACAAAGCATCCCCATTATCTGGCATCACTAGGGGATGTGTGTAAGTAAATTTTATATCTCTTGAAATGTCAAAAATCTTTCCATCTTTTTCACATACATTTTGGAAAATGCATCACACACTTTACCCTCTTAAGCGACTGTGGACCAACGATATGAGCATTCGCTACTCTAATTAATGCTATTGCATCGCTGCTCCCTGGATAAGACATCACACACTCACTTCTCCGGCCATTCACGGGCCCGACTGGAACAGAGCGTCGCAGCTCCTGCTTCTCTTGAGTTTAGCACTTCTAATGGGTAACTTGGTAAGCCGGCGATCAATGCTGCTAAGAATTATTCATTAATTAAAAGTACGATTCTAGGTGACAGCCCAAATACAGCGCAGGAGCTCTGTGACTCTGTTGTGGTCATTCTTCCCTAAATGAGAGCTCCTATTCCCAGCATTCTGATGGGCTGGAAAGCAAGTGTCACCATCCTGATACACACACACACACTCTCTCTCTCTTTCCCTCCCTCATACACACTATCCATCACTCACTGCATACCTGGCCCCACTAGGGCCTCTCTGTGTTAGCTCATTTCATCTTCACAGTTACCCCACAAGCGGGTTTAACATGTCAATTTCATGGTTTCCAAAGCAACTTCATAGTACAGATGGACTTCAGTTTCAGTCTCCAAATTCAATCGCAACACCCTCCACAAAATCATAATGGTAAGCACTACATTCACTATAAGGTGCTGATGACAATGACTCCAATGATATAAGACAATACTGCCATCACCATCTCCACCGTGTCTGCTGTGTGGGGGCCCCAGACCAGGCATCTGGCAACAGCAACACCACCAGCCATTGTTATGGTGTTCAGATGAAGAAATAAGGCTCAGAGAGGAGGCAGCTTTGCCACAAGTTACACCGCATACAAATGGTAGAAATGGGATTTGAGGATTTCTCTAATTTCAGAGCTCAACTTGGTCACCACAAAGTAATAAAAGCCAGCGTGCTAGGGGAATTTCATTGATATTTTTATTTTAACATAACAATTAAGACTTATTCCATCATATCATGTTTAACATTTGATTTTCCTTTCTTAGAGAATTTAGTATCAGTATTTATTGCTGGCAACATTCAAATGCAAGCAATAAAACAAACACACACAAAATATATATATTTTAGTTATAGCTGGTCACTGGAGTTCCTCTCCAAACAATAGATGTGTTAAGGGTGCCAAGAGCCTACTATTGACTCTGGTAGGCAGAGATGGAGAGATAAGCAGACAGGGATGGGGAAGGACAAAGGACAGGCCTAGTGCTACTGCCACTTAACCCCTTCCCTCCTTGCCATGAATAATTCTTACAGAAGGCCTGTTGACAGCCTCCGTTTCTGTTTTAAAGCGGGAGGACGCGTACTGCAAACTGAAAACATTTTCTCCTCCAAAATGGGTAGACGGGGATGACATTCAAGATTACCCACAATCTGGACGCAACCTCTCTCTCCAACGCTTCCTGGATTTCTCCATGAGGGCGCCTCTGCTGGAGACCTGCTGCTCCTTCACAGTCTCCCAAATCCATAATGCAGACCTCTGCAGCTACATCACAGGTTGCAAACTAGTAGCCCAATTGCCAAACCCAGGCTGCAGACTCATTCTGTTTGTGTGTTTTCTGTGTTGTGTGTTTTTTATTCTTCCAATGAGCTCACATGTTAAAATCGGGAATTTTCACGCAATTCACCCGCTGGCATTTCTTGAGAAATCTCACAATCTGCCAATGTTAGGTTTCACCCTCACATGGCAATGACCAGTCTGGCAGTGCGACGTAACATCTCCTCTTGGAGAATGTGTGTGCCCTTGAGTTCACAGTCTCACCACTCCCTATGTCTCTCTGACTCAGGCTGTGTCAACATC